AATGAAAGATGATACAGCGGTTCAAGAGGGAGGGGCCCCAAATTTCCAACGCGAGAACTACAGCAAAAAATTCTTTAACAGTTATGTGGAAAGATTCCCATACATCCAGGCTGTTTAAAAAAAATCCGCCAAAACCCACATTACTCGCATCAGTGTAAAACTGTAAATGTGCTGATGTTTCCCACTTATCAGATAAAAACATGGATGTGCCGTTAAAATAGTCCAAAAATAGTCCCCAAGCGGCTAAATCAGCCCGAGCCTCTTTGCTCAGCCTCCTGTGATGATGTGGTTTTGTTAAGCCACAAGTTAGATCAATCAATCGACGCAAAAAAGGGCGACCTGGCAAAACAACCCTACAAGCAAAGTTAAGCAAGCCTATCAGTGACTGGAGTTCCTTAAGAGTGACTTTGCGGCATCTAGAAAACAACTTCACACAATCCCGCATTTTCTCTAATTTATCCATGGGGAGTCGAGCAACCATAGCAACGCTATCCAACTCAATACCTAGAAAAGTGAGGCAGGTTGTGGGGAACTCTGTTTTGCTTTGTTTGATTGGAATGGCAGTATCAAAACAAAATTGTAAAAAAGTTGTTAGATCCGTGAGACATTTTTCAGTATTAGGAGGGCCTACAAAAAGAAAATCATCCAAAACATGAACTACCCCTGCTACGTTAAACTTGTGTTCTAAAATCCAATGAATAGCAGAGCTGAAGGCCTCAAACAACCTGCAAGAAATGGAACAGCCCATGGGCAGAACCCGATCAAAATAATAGTGACTCTCTATCTTAAAACCTAACAGTTCATAATCCTCTGGATGAATGGGGATTAGCCGAAAAGCTGACTCTGTGTCTGTCTTAGCTAATAGCGACCCTATCCCATATGTTTTCATAAGCTGAATGGCATGATCAATTGTTTGATAACTGACAGTAGAATATTCCGGAGAAATACCATCATTAATTGAAGAACCCTCAGGAAAGGATAAATGATGTATAACTCTGTACTCATTTGGCTCTTTTTTGGGAACCAACCCTAAAGGAGAAACTTGTAAATTAGGGAATGGTGGCTCAGTAAAAGGACCGCTACAGCGACTGTTGTCAAGTTCTTTTTGGATTTTATTTTTTAAAATGTCAATCTGTTCTACTGCCGACTTCAGATTATTAGCCTCACGAAAAATTCTAGGCCCTTCATACTGTAAATGAAAGCTGAACATAAAACCCTGTTCTAAAAAGGCGAATTTTGAGGGGGGGTAACCCTGTAGGTACTCCAGAAATTTAGGAACCCTGATTGGAGTAGGTAAGGAACTACTTTCGGGGAGGTTGACATTGCTGTTTACCTGGTTGAGCTGGGGAGTTACCGGAGCCAGCAGCTGGCTGTCTGTCAGGTTTGGAGGTGTTAAGACAGTTTTTCTGTTGATGTCTGCCACTGCAGACCCCACACCCATGCCAGAATTTACACCTGCTGCCCTTGGCACACTTACCATGCCTGTCATAAGCCCAGCACACTTTCTTGGTGCGCATGCTGGGCTTCTGACCCTGAAAGGGCTGTGGAGGGCAGAGAGCACGAAGGCCAATAGCAGTTGCCTCCATGTACAGCTCAGAATGGGGTAGGTGCCAAGGGGAACTGGGATATAATTGATGCCACATTCTAAAATTAGCATCATAATGCATAGCAGCAGCAATGCCCGACCTCTTGTTGAGTGTTTGTACGATATCTGCATACTTCATTAGGCTGACAGCTGCCTGAGGATAAGCCTGGACATAGATGGACACAAAGATATGAAAAGATATCCACTGTTCAATAGATTTAAAGGAAAAACCTTTATTATTTTTACTCAGCACTAATTGCTGCCCTTGTACTTCAACTTTCAAAGTGTCATTTTCATGGGGTGTCCGTTTAAGCAATAAGCCTAATTCCACATATTCATTATTGAAAATTTTAGACTTGAGTTTGACATCTACAAACATATCAAGAGGACGAGCAATGCTTATACAAGTAACATTTGGGGTCTCACCAGCTACATCCCGAAAAAGATTGGTATAAGACACAGGCCTGTCGACGAGTGGGCTGGTATGCCCTGTTCCTGTGGCTGTAAAGGCAGATGATTGCGGCACTTGTTGTGTTGGTGGCTGATCTGCCAATCCTGTTGCTGCTGCCGGGATGGTATGGGATGGTACCCCGGGTGGACCCTGATGGGATTGGTCGGCAGATCCTAACCCAGCTGTAAGGAATACTGACGACAACACAGGCTGAGATGCCTGTTGATTGGAGGATCCCGCTGCAGCTGCCGGGATGGTGGTGGAGCTAACACTGTGCGGGAAAGACTGGGGTGAAAGTTGGGAGTCCATATTTACATTAAGTGGGACGGGGCGGCTGGAGCTGGCACTGATACTAATTGAATGTTCTGACTCGCCCTGCCCATATCTGTCGCACTGGCAGTTGCTGGAGGGTTGATAGTATACCCTGCCTCTTTCATATAGTTAAACAGCTGTGCAGCTAGGTCAGGGATAGACACATTGGCGGATGCTTGATGCCCAGTTGCTGTCTCATTAACTGTGTCTGTTGGCATACCCCCGGATAACTGGAATTCCCCCAGTACAACCCAGGCATACCTCCGGATGAAATCAAAACACAACAACACAAAACTGGGAATTCCCCCAGAACAATCCAGGCTTACCCCCGGATACCGGATAACAAAAATAGACAAAAACCCGGGAATTCCCCCAGGTCAAATCCAGGCATAAACAACTGGGAGTTCCCCCAGTACAATCCAGGCATACCCCGGGATAACGAGAATAGACGTACAACCTGGGAATACCCCCAGGGCAACCCAGGCATACCCCCGGGAACAAAACCAGACAGACACAAACTCCATGAGTCGACAGTACTGTTTGGGAAGCAGTTTTTTTTTTTTTTATTTTATTTTATTTTCGTAAGAATAACGTAAAGCGACACGCAAACTAATCTGCTGGATGACCCGCGTAAGAAAATTTGCAGTGGCTCGAAACAGACGAAAGTGTGAACGGAGTAGTAGCGCTTAAAAAACAAAAACAAGAATGCGAGTAGCCTCCCTTAAAGCATACACAAGAATATAGGATTGGCAAAAGTGGCGAAAACAAAGCCAAATAAAGCGAAATCAATTTTCTAACATATCGAAAGAATGTAAAGAAAATACGATAATGAAATACGAAACACGAACCGTAGTGGGTGGGGAGGAGGCATGAAAAGTGAAAGGTACATAGGCACAACCGCCGAGCCTTTCATAACCACGAGACGTGGGCGGAAGTAAACAATGGAAATGCGCCTGCGTATAGCGACAGAAACCAAGAAAGAAATTAATATTCAAAAGCTTACCGTATATGGAACTTAGACACGCCCACTTGCTGCACGTAAGCCATACAGAACCGCTCCTCTGACCGAGAGGAGATACCTATGCATCCCTGACGTATTCAAATGAACTCCGTCCCCAGATAGATGAGGGAAGACGCCATCTTTCAATCCCTTATGGCGCCAGAAAAAACATTTGTCCACGACCTTACACTTTGACTTTAAATCAAGATTTATCGAATCCACTGCGGCATTGTACTGTCGGACTGGCACATGTCTCGTATGCTATCGGTAAAACAGTTGTAAAACGCCAACTTTCGTCACTGATAATCCTGAGATTAACCACTCAACCACCGACAACAAATCTATCACAAGAGAGTCCTTGACATCAGCAAAACGTAAACAGTCCAAATCATTGCCTCCAATTTGTAGTAAAACTAAATCGGGACATTGTTCCAACAACATATCTGATACGTCACGAGTGTAAACATCGGGCAGTTTACCACCACTTTTACCAACACAAGACACAACAATATCCATGGGGCTGTTATGAAACCCGAGATTCGCCCATAAACCCTCGAGTGCGCGGTCAAGGCGTTTCACAAAACTGTGTCCAATGATCAGCACGGTCGACATGTCGAAAGAACGAACATGAAGGCATATACAAGTACACCCAATAATAAAGAGATAAACTTTTAGCGTAGCTATTAAACAGCAAAACTAATAATTATGTAACATGTATAGACCTTGCTCATCCATCTTATCAGCAGCCTCTGACCTCTGAGTCCAGTGAACCTGTACTTATATCGAAAAATAGATACGAAACTGTGCTCCCTCTACCAATCACCTCCTCTCAATCTGTTTTATGTAATAATAATCATTTCCGTAACATTCTTATATAATTAATTTTAATTAAAATTAAAAATCTCTTGCGGAACATTCATAAATTACATTAAACAAAGTTTAATTTGTATTTATGCTTTTAACAGACTTAGGTGGCTGATAATATCTGATTTTTATGAATTCAGAAAGGCAATTCTTACTTTTAAAATACTTAAATGTCAAGCTCCAAATGTTTTGAATTCAATGTTTACTTATGTAACTAACTAACCCAATATCATAATAGTTATGTGTAGACTTACCGAATCGTCCCTTTTCCTTTTCCTAGATGAAACCTTCTCTTTTTCAATCAAACCGGAAAGCCTTCAGAACTGAGCTGACTAATGTCCCCAACCTAAAATGAATGCATATCAAATTATAAAGTAGGGTTGTATTAAGTTTTGCAGAAGTGACATAAATCTGAATAGGAAATGTTTCTTGAAGATGAGATATTCATTATCAAGCCTCGTGTGGTTGACCGACCAACATATATTGTATTTATTATGGGGTACATAAATATTATATATTTTTTTTAATTTAATATTCCAACCTACCACAAATGTGCCCATGCTGTCGTCTGTACTATAATCAAGGGTTGTATCAATGAATAGATCCTGTGGAGAGGGGCTATCTGGCTGCATCTGCTCTGTTGTGTTCTCGACGATAGAATGACTGTCGACTTGTGCAAAAGACGGACTATCTGTACTTTGATCGAGGGTTGTATCAGTGAATAGATCCCTTTGAGAGAGGCTAACTGGCTGCATCTCTGTTGTGTTCTGGAAGGTAGACTGACTATCGACCTCTCGCAAAGACGGACTATCTGTATTGTGATCAAGGGTTGTATCAATTAATGGATGCCGTGGATAGGGGCTATCTGGCTGCATCTCCTCTGTTGTCTTTTCGACGTTAGACTGACTTTCTACTTGACGCAAAGACTGACTATTCACTGCAGACATGTATTGGTCAGTGCTGTCATCGGAGATGTTATCAATGGCTCCATCTTCCAAAGGAGGGTCCGGAGGAGGCTCACTGCGTGTCACCTTCTGAAAGAATTTTGAAACTGATTATATTACGAATATTTATGTTCATTGCCTTCTTTTTACAACAGGAGGGTATGCATATCATATTTTTGTTATAATTTGATAGATTAAAAAAACTTGTGAAAACATACCTTCCGTATCGTTGTATATCCTCGCCTTCTCGTCATTGTGTCGATAAAACAAAGTGTTTGACCTGACATTTTCCGCCTTATATGCTACCCTAACCCTAACCCTAACCCCCAAAATTATGCTTAAGTGAATACATTAATGCTAACCACGTAACATTTATGCTAATATACAACGGTATTACTCTAGCATTAAAGTTTCTAATTTAGCATGAAGGTATACTTTTTTTTTTTTTTTTTTATTTGGAAGATTGACTTTTTATTGAATGTTTTAAAGACACGTAATACCTGTGTGTAAATGAAGTGGTTTTGTCGACGACGCTGAACAGATCTAAGGGGTGAATGATTCGAAAAGTACATACTTAACTTCATCTGTCCACAATCAAATGGATACCGATATATCACAGAGAAAATATATTTGTCAAATGAAATTCACAACAAATTTCTAAATTGTTAGGTCGGTAATCGATTGGGTATTTGTATTCATGTTTTTTTTTTTTTTTAAACAATCATTTTATTCAAAGAAGCATATGTTATATAACAATACATTACGTGTTACATACAAAACATGTACATTGTTAACTTTACACCACGGACTAAATATACAGTTGTAGATATTTACATTGTTTTCACTCTCTTTCTTTACACTACGGACTAAATATAGATATTTACATTGTTTTCACTCTCTTACTTTACACTACGGACTAAATATAGATATTTACATTGTTTTCACTCTCTTACTTTACACCACGGACTAAATATAGATATTTACATTGTTTCCACTCTTTTACTTTACACCACGGACTTAATGAATATACTAAAAAATACACACACACACATAC